GGAGGCAGCCCCCAATATGTGATCACGTGAGAACCGGCAGTACGGTAGTTGCAGTTCAGTTTAAGTTACCGGACCTAGTGTTCAGGAGAAGTTTATATATACCTGTGATCATGATATTGATTTTATAATTACTGTTTACTTTAGTATGGGTTTTTACGGAGTACAGTGGATTATTACTCACGCCCCACTATTATCATTTTCAGGTAAGAGGGTCGGTGCAGAGGTGTGAGATCAGCTATGGTGGTGTGGATCGCGAATTTCGTTCATTTGTTATATTATGAACTTTTAATAAGGTTTCGGTTTGTATTATACCATGCTTATAAGATCTCCGCTACGTCTTTCAGATATTGAACATGTGTGATAGTATTTTTAAAAGTTAAAAGATTTATCAGTTTAGTTTTCGTATATGTTCGATAATTAAAATCTGTTTTGTTATATTTAACCATTTGTTAGACCAAGTTTTGAGAAGACAGATTTAAAGAAGATAAGTTTTAGTAGCATCCCGAGCTAAGTTAAGAAAATTTTGAAAAATTTATAAGTATTTTCAGAATAAGAAGATGCGAAAAATTGACTCTGATAAGCGGGGTGTTACATAACTGGTCCAAAAGGTCATCGAGGCGAGGAATGGGAAACCTATAGCGGACCGTGATCTTATTAATAGCACGGCTATCGACACACATACGCCACGATTTATCCTTTTTGGGAATGAGTAAGGCCAGCACTGCACAAGGACTCAGACTGCGCTGAACAACACCCCGCTGGACCAACTCTTCCACCTGTCGTTGTAACTCCTCATGTTCAGCCGGGCTCATGCGATAATGAGGGCGATAAGGCAGTGAAGCGCCCGGGACCAAATCGATATGATGTTGAATGTACCGAAGCAGAGGAAGACCGTCAGGTAACTCGTCCGGAAAGACATCAACAAACTCAGCAAGCAAAGGTTTGATGACATCTGGCGGTACAATAGGGGACGGCATATCCGTCCTGAGGAGAAGCAAAACACACGGGGCCTCTTGCATTGCGCCCTCAAATGCCGTGTGGGACAAGAAAAGAACCTGAGGTGGTCGGGGTAAAGGCAATGGACGAGGAGCAGATGGATGAAGGACCAACCGAACCCCATCAAACATGAAGCTGTAAGTATTGAGGCGCCCGTCGAAAGCCACAGCACGATCGAATTGCCACAGACGACCCAACAAGAGGTGACAGGCGTCCATGGGCACCACATCGCACCATGCTGAGTCCCGGTACTTGGGCCCGATGGAAAAGTGGACCAACACCCGACGGTCCACTGTGATGGAGTTACCCCACTTAATCCATGCTAAAGTGTACGGTTGAGGGTGCGGCACCGTCGATAGCTGAAGACGTTCCACTGCATCCTGTGCCACCACATTCTCACAAGAACCAGAGTCAATAATAAAACGACAAATACGACCACCTACCGTACATGTGGATTCAAAAATATGGTGCCGCTGAAGGGGCTCCGTGGACTCAGAGGCCCGAGGCGCCAAGCACGAACGCCGAAGAACCAAAGCAAGTCCCTCGTCGCCGCAAAGATGTTCCTCCACCGGCTCGGGCTCGACGTCAAAATTCGGTGGGCCATCATAAATGCCCGCATTGCCGTCAACCTCCTCGGCCAGCAAAGCCCGAGACCCGACGCGACGAGGGCACGCGGACTGCCGGTGTCCCGCCTCGCCGCAAGAGAAACAACGGGGACCACCACCTCCACGCAAACCCTCCATGCCAGCCGAAGTCGAACCAATACCGCCGTGTTGGCTGCAGTACCGATCGCCGGAAAGCCGACCGTCCCAGGCGAGCTGCTGCGATTATCGGTCACAGACGACCGGTTCAGTCCCGCTGAAGACGATGGAAGGCCACTCGTGCGTTGCTGAAATCCCTGTGGCGGTAGTGAGCGCCTCGCCTGTTGTTGTTCGATGAGCAAGGCCCGTTAATGAGCAGCAGAGACGGTTTCAGGAGAAGACAAATTCAGCATGTCACGAATAGCATGTCACGAATAGCAAGTCGCAGGCCCCCAACATAACGGGATACTTGTCGTCTCACGTAAGCTAACTCGTGTAAGTAGGCGATAGAAATCCTCCGTGTAGTCATCCACGGAACGAGCACCTTGACGTAAAGTATGTAGCTGCTGATATGTGGTACTGACATAATTGAACGGAAGAAACTCCCGCTCGATATGTTTACGGAACTTAGCCCACGTAGTGATTTTAGATTTACCCGAAAGACGTCGCTCATCCTTGATACTAGAAAATAAATCCACCTCATACTAGAAAAGAAATCCACCTCATACTAGAGACATTATAAATTCATTACTTCAAAACTTTTCTTGAGCCCAAATCTTGTCATCCACATGAGGTTGTACATATTGAGAATCCGGAAAGATTATGATGTAGGAGGGAAAACACAAAAGCAAACCAAAAAAATGTGACAACATCACACAACACAAGCACCAGTCACAATTAAGCTTATAGAGAAAAGAAAGAGCTGAAAATGATGAATGCTTGGACGAGGCTACAAGATCTACAACAACTTAACTTATGCTAATGCAAATGACGACTGCATTAGTCGCTAAGATATCGCAGGTTTTAGTTTTGTTTTTGCTCAGTCATATTTCTCTAACTAAGATGTTCGTAATGAGTGGCGCTAAAGGATCGGGCCCAATTGTAGCATTAAGAATTTGGTTTATATAATCCTATTCTCACATTTTACATATTCAAGCTAAACTTGTTTCTTCACCAACACAAACACCATAATACAACTTTTACTACTGATATGGCATTATAGAAGACCGAATTCGACAGGAAAATATAAGGGTAGAGATCCTAATCATATCACCAATACAAAACATCAAGTGACTTATGAGAAACACATCACAGTTGCCATAGAAAAAAAAAAAAAAAAAAAAAAA